TCCCCCTGTACTGATAGTTTATATAATAATTTCTTCCAACTCTATGGCTGATTCACACCTCCCAGCTTGCCTTAATGTAAATTAAAAATCAGGCATTAATGTGTTGCAACAGCTTTCATCTTGACAGATATGATAAAATACATAATCACTGTGTATGGAGGGAGAATATTGCTTTGCATGGGGAGGGACTGATGTCCTGGTGGCTGAGGGTGGTGGAGATGGAGTCCAGCAGTTCCTATGGAGCTAAACATAGGAGTCTGATCATGTTCCTGATGTCTGACAGCACAGAGTATTGCCTACAGTGCTGAGAGGTCCTGAACCAGCACTGAGAGGGAAATAACCAATGTTTTTCTTTCCTTAAAAACATCAACCTAATCCAACAGACTGGGGGAGAACCTGCTGATATTCTTTGAAGCAGAATGTTAAGGTTTTGGTTTGGTGGCAGTCTTCTGACAGATGGACTGGCAGACCAAGGAGTACTGGGTGTGATGGTTTACAGAGCACATACACTGATTTATCAGCTAGCTCCCAGGTCACCAGAGGGCTTTGCCCCTTCCCACAGGACTGCCACCCTCACTATCCGTCTCTAATGCTATCTGTGTTTATTTCGCTATCCATCTCTAATGCTATCTGTGTTTATCTGTAGGAGATACAAATGGCATGATTTTGAGATGAAACAGGAGCTTAAATTTTGCCTTCTTAAAGGACTTTACATGTGTAAGAGATTATTCTTTTTCATCATTGCCTTAAAGCTTGCTGGGGACACAAATGAACAAGTCCAAGCAAGTCCTGGGCAAGGGTTGAGAAATCCTTTGTCTGGAGAACACTAATGGACAAGTCCTGGGCAAGGGTTGTGAAATCCTTTGTCTGAGGGACACAGATGGACAAGGCCAGGGGCAAGAGAAGCTGCAGATTAATGGCCAGGAAGCAGTCTTTTGTGTGGGTTTATCTTGAGGAAGATGGCCATCTCAGGAGGTGCTGCACATGACTCTTACCTAAGCACCCAGGAATGCCATGAAGGCAGAAGGATAAAAAAAGGGACCTACAACCATGAAGTTAGGTTTTCTGGTAACAGGTTCCTCATGAAGAAGAAGAGGTTTCTGACATGAGAAGCCTCACAACCTGCCTCTCTCCCTCCTGAACTTGCTCTGCGCTCTACCTGGATGCTGAAGAAGAACAAAGGTGTCTGCCATCAGATTCCTCACTATGGAATTCCTGCATGTTGACAAACTCTCCTGTGTTTGCTACCTGAGTCCTGCTGCTTCCTCCTGGATTGGGTCTGTGAAACTTCTTCCTGCTACCTGCTTGCTGCCCAAGGCTGGCCATGCTGCTGCTGCTCTCCTTCTGCTGCTTTTGCTTCGGACCTTTGAAACGTCATGCAGCAGGACCGCTGCTGGATCACGGTGGTGACTATCCCCACTTTATGTGATTCTTGCTTATTTCCTATCTTTCCTATCGCCCTCCTTCCCTTCCTGGTCACCCTAATCTGTAGTAGTAGTTGTCCTTCCCTTCCCCGTCTCCCTGATCAGGATTTGTAACAAACTGGTCGGACCAACATTTGAACCGTTGTTTCTTAATCTCACGCCAGGTATGAATATATTAAAAGAACCTCCTCTCCCTCCTATAAATTGGAGCGAGACAGCATGAGAAGTTGCTTATATCACAGATGATGCCAAGCTTACTTTCTACTTACAGAATAGATACTTCAGACTCTTTCTGGGGAATAAGGTATGAAATCAGATTTTATGGTACATTCAAAATGCAGGAGTGAAATGGGTACAATTTTCATTATAATTTAGATTTATTAAGAACTATTACTGGGTATCTGTCAATTCTTCCCAAATGTAGATACTATTAATAATTTGTTTTATGTCTTTAAAGGAAAATGCAGAACTAACTGCAACAGAAAGCCTTAAAGCTTCAGAAACTTTTTAAAGTAAGTGAGGATCATATGCAAAATATCATTGAATTAAGTTGATGAAAAGGTTATATTAACACATGGTTGAGAAGACTTTTATAATCAACTTGCATCTGCAGTTTGTGTGACTAGCAGGACTGTGGCCAAGAATCTGCAGGAAACTCAGACCAGTCAGTGCAAGTGAAGTATGCTGGTAACAGGAATTAGATATGAAAATACATTCTTTGATTCAACAGCCCCAAGATAGACTCATAGTAAAAAATTTAATGACTTTGCTTAGTACTTTCCTGCAGCTTAATGGAAAAAAAATAGTTATGAGGCTTAATTATTTAAGAAGACAGTTTGCATATTCCCTTGATTCACCGGTGCTTAAAGGAGCAAACAAATCTTCTTCATTTGAAGACCATGGTAATGGAAGGAACAGAAATTTATTTAAGTAATAACAGCAGGATCTTAGCTCTGTGCTGCATCTGCTGGAACAGTGTCATGTACTTAAATTTGACCTCTTTAATATACAAAACTCTCCACTGATTTCAGGTTTCAGCCCTTAGCCATCACAGACACTCTGGTTTATATTTTCATTTGGAGTTCTGATGTAACAGAGGATTCAATTGGATGTCATTTTTTGTGATCAGGACTTTCAAACAGTTTTAAATATTTTATAGCCTAGCACTCAAAAGGAAGCAGAGCCTAAGAGAAAAATAACTGCTACTTCAGCTTCTTTCCTGTGCCTGCTAATGAATTAATGATTGTTTTTTACATCCTTTCAGAAGACTTTAACATTCAGGATACTCAAACATCAACAGAAGAAGGAGGCCAGAGTGAAGTCCCAGAATAGTCATGATGAGCTGGGACATCTTAGTGGAAAAAGAAGAGATATAGGTAGCCTGTAAAGGCAGGGAGAAAGGTTCTTCTGGAGGCAGCCCAGATCACCACAGGAAGGGAGAATACAAAATTTCTCCCCTTAATACTTTTGGACACATTAAATGGTCAGAATTTGCGTACAAATTTCTGTATGTATGTGTGCATATATGCACATGTATGTCAGAATAGAAAAAAAGGGAAGGAGAGAGGGAGAAGGTAAACACAGCTTATATATTTGGTAAAGGTAGAGAAATCAAAGGCTTTTGATTTTATAATGGCAACCTGAATAAATTAAACTGGAAAATAAACACAGCTGTTTCTCCTAAAGAGGAAAGGGAGGGAAAGGTGTCCAAGAGCACAGCCCACCATGACCTGTTGACTAAGCAGACCAGCTGTTATTTAATTCAGCTTTCTTTGAAGTATTAAGTGTTTTGAGATGTTCTGAAAATCAGATGATTTGGTACTTTTTTTTTTCCCCAATATGTCACTATTTTCCTCTTTTTTTTTTTTTTAATGGAATTTCTATCAGATTTTTTTTGTTTGGTTGGTTTTGATTCACGTCTCCAGTTTCAGTGTTTCAGAAGGCAAATCAGTCTGGATTTAAGTGGTGTGCAAAGCCTGGCTGATCTTCTTCGAGTCTCTGAAGCTTCCTTCAATGACTGTCAAATTAGTGGGATAAAAAGAGGTACAGTGCACCATGGATGGAATCTTCCTTCTTTCTGAGATATGCTCTGAAATCTTTGCTTTATGTTTTAAGAGGATGCATCAGTTTAAAAATTCTTTGCTTTGATCTGAAATACTTGCTGAAAAAGCAAGGGTTTTCTGGAGTCCTTCCTTTTATATATATTTTTTGAATATCTTTTACCATTCAGAATGCCTGAAAGTTATTTCTGTTTTGTAGCATGTAATAAATATTAGGTTAAAGATGAAGATAAAATCCTGAAGTGATTTAGATAAAAGGAAAAAGAATGTAATAAAGGAAAAATGGAGAAAAAGCCACCATGAGATCAAATGCATTTTATGATTGTGTATAAACAAATATCAGCTCTAACTCAGCTGTAACTTTGCCCTGTTTCCAGCCAGTTAAAAATGCATCAATACTTCATTCATTGTCATCTATTTTAATGGAGATAAGAACAAAATCATTTTCAGAAATTTGTCTCTGATTTCTTTGTAAAGGATGATGTCACTCGAGTATGCTGCCAAAGTCCCTACCTATTTTCAAAGAAAAATAAATCCTTCCCTTCACTCTAACCAGTCCATTCATAGAAATGTTATCTATGAGACCTTGCAAGATATTGGCTTATCCTGGCTTCCTTATAGCGATATGTCAGGCCTCTGCCTGGACATCTGTCTGCTGTGTACGCTGTGCTTGCTTGGGACTTGCTAGGTGTAGGGCCAGGCAGGGAAAAGAGCAAGGACTGACCAATCACACTGATCTGGGAGAGAAGGAAGGGCAGGCTGTGCACAAGATCTTGGCCTGAAGATCTTTTGAAGATCAAAACAGTTGTGTGGTTTTTCTTTTTCTATTTTTTTCTCTTGAAACATTACCATTAGATTTCTCTCTGGCTTTTCTCCTAGCAGCGAGGATGATGACCCAGTGGCATTAGCAATGAGCCAGCATGCTCAGGACGTTGCCATTTCTTTCAAACATTTTCAAACCTTTTTGAATGAGTGGTGCTGTAATTTTTGTCCTAGATGGAGACCGTAAGTGGTGCAGTGATTTCCTTACTCAGTAATTGACCTGTGACACTGACTTCGACATTGTGATTGCAGATGCATGCAGATCATAAATTTATATGCTGATATTTATAGTGTAGGCAGCGTACAAAAATCAGGCTGTTCAAGCTCTATTAAATTAACTAATAAAAGTTAAGTGAAAGTATCTAAAAAGCTTGAAAAAACCTTAGGTTACTCTATTTAAATTGGTTAATTAATGAAAATGTAAATATTTAAAACCCATGAAGTTATTAACTAAATTAGTGAGAATTATCTTAAAGTTACAATTTACTCAATCAGATCATCAGCCAATGCAATCTCTATTTAAATTAATGGAGATACACCATTTTACACAGCTTGGGCTTTAGATCATGACAATGATAAACCCGTAGATCTTTTTCAAGCATACTACACTTGGAGCAAATATGTTTGTCATAGGATTTAAGAACCATAAAAGCACATTTAATATTAAAAAAAAAAAAAATCACTTATAACTTACCATTCTGTAAAGTTTATCTTCCAGATCCTGATTAATTCTTTGTAAGGCTAGGTAATTGTTTTGTATCCTAAAACAAAGATGATATCATGTAATTGAATGTATTTTTTTTGTGTTATTTTTACCTGAAATTTTCACATCAGTACAAAACCTTGGCTTGCACTACTTGAAATCTATTTGCTTACCACTCCTGTTGCCAGTCAGTGGTTTCCTTTGAAATGCAATTACCACCTACTTCCTAAGCAAACTTCTATGTCATATTTGTTTACTATATTTAGCAGCAAATTCTGTCAGGAAGTAAAAATGTGTTTGCTGTTCTGTGCTTATGTGCAGACATGCTTCACAGCATGAGAACTTGCACAAAGGGATTGTAGCTGTGCATCAGGCTCACAAATTATATGTCAGGGAGGAGGCTTGAGCTTTCTGCTTAGACACTACAGGAAGAGATTTAGCAGACTCTCCTAATGTGGAGAATTGCAGCAGAAACCCAATGACTGCAGTAGAAAAAATGACTTAGAAGGGAATATTCCCCTTTTGACAGAAGTTCAAAGGAATTGCACATCCTTGAACCTCAGCAACACATTCTCTTTCTTCAGCAAATAAATCTAGATATCTCACACTGAAAATGTGGGTGTTTATTTTTATTAGAATTCAGGAATGGGTTCAAAAGTATCTGCATAAATTTATGAAGGAAGGAATAGTGCAAAACAAAATATTTTTTCAGTGCTTTTCTAGCTCGATTTCTCTGTACCTGAGTCTTTTCTGCAGTACAGAGCTACGTGGAGTGCATCTTACAAGGTTTGAAGATTTCTTTCCCCTGTATTTAAAAACATGAACAAAACTAACAGCAATTGCAGCCAGATAACCTATATATCCATCTTATTACAATGGCAATGCACCAGTGGTTTTAGTCCTAAGATTCTACAGACAATATTTTTCTCTCACTACAGATCACTGGAAGATCAGTTATCGCTAATATAATGGCTTTCAAATGGCAGTGTTTCCATGCAGTAGACAGTAGTTGGTTTTTGCAGTAACAATATGCTTCTCGGCTTGTATCAAGTCTTTATCACATTTTCCTGTGTTATATGTTTATCAGAAAATATTCCACAGACAGTTTTTGCATTGAAAAAACTGACCACCTCCCAGCAAATAAAATCCAAACAATAAATCTAAACAAAAAATAAACAGTACATAGCAAGCTGAGCTTCAAAGAGCATTTCTGTTGAGAAAGGTATGCAAAGATAGTAAAAATAAGCATAAATGTGCACACAAATATAAGCACGTATCCAAATAAAACCCAAATTTAAATCCACTGCTCCAAAAGAAGTGGCAGAAAATGTGGATTGAATGGGGAGAAACAGACTTAGCAACAAATAAAAGAAAGTGTTAAAGGGATACAAGACAAACACGGCAATTACTGTGAAATAAAAAAGAAGGAAAAATTATTCAAATTCAAAATGATCAGAGGAGTAAATGGTAACTTAACTCTGTGTAGAAAAAAAATATACACATAATCTGAGTCTTGTGCAGTAAGAAATATTTTTGTCATAAATTTGGATTCTCTAAATAAATGAATCAAAGAGCAGGTCATCTTCATTAGTCTCTGAAACCAGTTTAAGGAGAAAATCTTTCCATGTGAATTGATAAAAAATTATTATCGTTTTGATGGCTTTTGATGGCTTTTTGTTGTTAAATTAATAGGGTTATATGATACCCACATACATACATGTGTATGCAATAAATGCATGTTTAGATTCCTCAGTAAATTGGACTCTTATGAAAAGTATTCTGACCACACTGAATGCCAAGTATCAGAACTCTAACCAAGCAGACAATACATTTTTCTCAAAGACTGCAAAGAGAAAGCCTGCAAAATCTCTATTTCAAAGCCCTCACATGGCTCTGAAATATCTGATGTAAAACACAGGCTTGGGTTAGCCTTCTGCAAAGAAGAGAATTTCACCCTGAGTTCAGCTTAGCTTTGAAAGATGACTTAAAATAGTAACCTTGTTCAAAAATCTTTTTCTGTTAACACGAGTTACACTGGTTTTCTTACAGAAACAAAATACTTTTCCTCTGTTTATTCTAAAGCTAACACAGCTACCAAGTTTCTGATCTGAAAACCCCTTTAGCCCATGATGTGTCTAGCTTTTGGTGAAACAATTAAGTGCGGGGGCTAATCTTAGCACTAAAAATATGCTTGTATGGATTCATTCCTTGTGTTTTAAGATATCTCTGCTCTCTGAAAAATGCCAGGAAGACCTTGAGCAGCTGGTTCCCAGGGTGCAGTCTCAAGCAGGAAAACCAGTGTGACCTTAGGAGAAACTTTTGAGTTTCCATATTAATATTTGAATATTCTGAAAATGTAATCTTTAAAAAGCCATGCTGTTCACTCTAGATAGGGGAATCACTGTGAGGAATGTGAAATTCCCAACATCTTTTCAGTCACTTTTCGAAGCCCTACTTTACGGTTAATATTTTGAAACACTCTCAGCATTGCTTCCAGTGGGTCAAAAAAGAAAGATGGAGGTCAAAAGCCTTGAATGCAGTGTCACATAGATGACTTTCTTGCTTAGGTTAAACAGTTAATTCTGGACAAATTAAGAGGTCAAAAGCTTTCAAAAGGAGCAGAAAAAGATGGCTGTTCAGATTCTCAGAAAAAATTCTGTGCACAATGCTAATGGAATTTTAATAACAGAAATGATCTCTAGTATGCAAGTGGGATCATTGTACACGTGGCTTATTTGTTATAGGGGCTGAATTTTTCTCCCCATGTTGTGAATAAAGAAAGAAACATATTATTGAAACTAATTCTGATTCCTTGTTTTTCTCATGCTGGTTTTCTGATACTGGTGACATACTGCTGACATGCTTTTGGATTTCCAACAGTTTCCTTTTCCAGGCTGGGAAATCTATTTGTTTAACTTGTGGTATGCCTCGCTATTCTCAGTAGTAACATCTTTAAAGCTTGTAAAATATTTTGGGTCTCCAATGTCTCTACCTGCCTGAAACATAATTTTTCAATATAAATTTTCTTCATAATATAATACAATGCTCAGAGTACAGGAAAGTCAGTTCTACTAATCTGGTGTTTAGGTACTATTTCTAGACTTTGCCATGAGCAAAATGAAGAATGACTGGCCTGAATTTTGAAGAGTACTTAAACTGTCAGTGTCTGGTGATGTTGACATAGGTTATTTTTTTACTTAAGGAAAACTGTATATTGTCCCTTTCTTTTAACAAAAGTGGGATGGCCAGTCCTTCAGATAAGGATCATTCAAGAATTATGACAGCTGTGTCTAAAACAATATTTTGGGAAAAAACGTTGCCAATGTTCCCTGCCCTTAGAGCTGTAATATAGCAGAACAAAACTACATCAAGTGTAATGTAATTTTCAGTACACATTATCTTAATGAAATGATGGAAAATAAATACCAATGGCAGAAAAACAATATGGAAAGCCTCTGCAGAGCTCTTGATAGATAAGTATAGATTTTGCAGTCATGACTCCTATAATCCATCTGCTCATTTTGGTCTTGTTTTAAGAAGCCTCGGAGATAGGAAAGAACCTAAGTTATAAGAACACACTAGTTGTTTCTTAATTTAAGATCTTACAGCCTAATTATTTTTTTTAATTTACATAGAATTATTTGGTTGACTCAGGTTTTCTTTCTTTTTTTTTTTTTTAATTTATTTTATTTTGTTTTTCTGGCTTTGTTGTACTTCAGTTTTTGCCTTCTGCAAAGAATGATTTCTTTGGGTGTAGCCCTGGAACAGTTTGTTCTGAATTTTTTTTTTTGACTCATCCAGTGAATTAAATCAAATAGTTCAATTATCTGTGTACTTTTCAGCAAAGTCTTCACAAAAAATGCAGATACATTCCTACATAAATGGATAATAGTAGGTTCCAAATTGTTGTAAGCAAATGGAAAAAATTAATACTGAGAATCACTGCTAAGTTTAGTGCCAGATTACAGACCATTTTCATCATTACCAAAAATGTCAGGAGTGCATGCTTATGATAATTTGTCATTAACATTAACTGGGCCCTTGATTTGCAATAGCACTGTACCACAGCTTCAGTAATTTTAAGTAATAGATTTTTGGTATCAGTCATTCTATCTGGGGCTGGAAACTGAATGATGTAATGTATCATGACATAAAATGTCATAATATTGTTTATATTGATCTTAGTTTCAGCTTTGAGACAAATACTCTTTTCTTGTATCAGTACAGTGGAGAGTAACAACTGAAAATTTGCAGACAAATTGATTAATCATAGAATCATACGAAGGAGAATTAAAAATAGAATTAAAATGTTTTCTGTATATATATATATATATGAGATGTGTATGTATTTATGATACTTTCATATGTATAATTTAACTAAGTACTAACCAACACATGATTACACATAAACAATATCATATACCTACCTATATACATGTTTCTATTTGCGTGTTTACTTTCAATACAAAATATGTTGTGTATGATAAATACAGTTTCATATGCAGTATGTAATACATATTCATATATGTGAAATACGTATATTCAGCATGAACATAGAATGTTTAATCAATAAATAATAAATATTTGAGATATGTATTTATATTTTTACTTACATATGTCTTTAATACAGCCTTTTGTAAATTCCTCAAATCTGCTCAATTCAAAAAGTTAGTTACTAACCTTCTCAGTTTTTCAGTTACTTTCTCAAGTTCCTCCTGAGCACGTCTCAATTCTATTTCAAGATACTGACGTGTAGAATCAAATTCCGTTTCAAGCATTTCCAGTTTATGGGTAGTGTATGATAGACGTTTTCGTAATTCCCCCTTCTGTTCTTGCAAAGTACTAGAAAAGCAAAAGATCACAGCTGTAGAATTTAGCTGCTCCTGAAAAGCTTTTCATGATGCATTCTCTGACCAATTCTCTACGGTATTTAATGGCACGGAGCCAGTGAATTGTGCTTAATAATTTGTTTACTGCACTTTGAAAATCTTCTGATTTAGACAGCTGACTGTCTTCCCATCTGTCCTAGTGCATTCACTGTTAATATCTCATTAGCCACAATGGAACATTTTGTGGAAGAACCCTCATTAAAAACAAAACGCAGTCTAGCGTTTGGTTTAACACAGGAACTTTCATTTAGAGTTACCCTAAAATATAGTGACTGAAGTAGCAGATATTTATAGAGCAATGAATGTATATAAACTATGCAAAACTGTTTCCTTGCCAATAGCCAAGGTTATAACATTTTCTAGAGAAATAAGTCTTTGTCTCCTTTCATTCAGTTTGCTCCTTAGTCCCACAGAGCTGCTAATGATTCTATACTTAGAGTTTCGTCATGAGAATTGAAGTCTTAATAATCAATTATTACTATGTTTCTCCATTTTCCTACCTACTGGGGAATAAATCCATGCTATTTACAAGTGTGACCCCGAATTTTTCACAGTACCTTCACTAAGAAAGAATGTATGTCCTGCTTGTAAGCTAGATGCTTTTACACTCCTTGAGAAAGCAGTGAATTTTTTCAGAGAGGTTTTTCACTTTTCGTTTTATTTCAGAGACAATTTAAGATAGTCTAGGTCCAGGAGATAAAAGCACCACTTTTACTGTGAAGGTCAAAATGCCATCTTCCCAAACCATGCACCTGAATTTGCAGTGATGACCCTGGTGATATTTTCCCCATCTGTGTGTTTTCAAGAGAGCCAGTCCTCTCTTGCTTCCTTATCTGCATGATGGAGCTCTTTCGTCCTAGTCTACTTGGTGGTAAGTTCCTCAATCTTCTAACACATTTTCCAAGTGAATAGGAAGCTGGGGCTCCAGCTGGAACTGGTATCTCTAGAGGTGACTGCACCTCGTTTCAAATTACTGCTATCTCTGCTAATATTGAGCTGATCTCTCAGCTTTGGGTGGGAGCTCTGAGGCACCACAGAGCTGTAGTCTTCCACCACCTAGAGACAAGAGGGCTAACAAATGATGTGTTCTGAATTGCCTTAGTTTTTCTAAACATAAGATAAAAAATAATTTTTCATAAAAGAATGGCAAATCTTGATGCCCTCTGATGTCAAATCTGTACTGCCATCAGCATAGGTGTACTAGTATTTTGGATCTTTAATAAGAAAAAGGTGATGGGAATAGCAAGCGATTCCTCAAGGAAAATTTATCTGAGCTGGCTTCAGTGGGATGATCTTCTCCTTTACCAACTACTATAGGATCTTCAGTAAGTTAATGCAAAAGCTTTACAACTGATGCTTACTTGATCCATGCAACCTATGCTTAGGAAACAGCCTAGTGTTTTGCCTGCATAGTGCTCTATTTCAATTACAGGTGTTGTGTGGTTACAGTCATTTTTGGATTACCACTTGTGGTTATTTTTTTTTTTAATAATATATTCTAATTCAGACATTTAATGTAGCTTTTCAGTCATTTAGTTTTTATATTTCACTTGGTGAATATATCTGCCTTGTTATCTGGGAAATAAGAATCTGCACCCATGTTGCTCATATCTGTACATCTTCATTCATGAGGTTGCCACATCACATCACTTTTCACTTGCTCTTGTTCTGACTTATTGTTCTTTATATTTTTCTGCTCATTTCAAAAGAGAAGTCAGTTTTCCTTCCTGTAACTTGGCAACTTGGATTTTCTATGAAGTGTGAATTAAGGTATGAACTTATGGTTGGGTCTCCCTCCCTCCTTGGTGATATTCAAAAGCTACTTGGTCAGGGTCGTGGGCATCCTTCTCTGGGTGTACCTTCTTGTGAAGAGGTTGGGCCAGACAGATTCTGAGGTTCCTTCCCACCTCCATCATTCCAGGATTTTATGAAAACTAGAGTGGAAGAGATTTAATCTTAAATCATCTGTCAAAATCTAAGGTTTGTACAAAAACAGGAGCTTTTCCGGCTATGGTTTTGAATGTTCAGGGTGCTGCTTTATGTCAGGCAAATTCAGTTAATGCAACTTTGGTGAGGTCAGGTGTAGGTACAACCTGATCCTGCTATAGAAGGAAGTTTTTCCACAGGAAGAGTTTGACCTTTGGGTTTATTGAAGGTGTAAAGAGAATGCCTGGAGTATTTAAGTCAGTGACAATCAAGTACATTCTAATGAACTAAGAAAACAGTCTACATAGATGCACTCTTCACATAATGCATTCATATACTACTGAAACATATAGCCACTTGTATGGAATAAAATAAAGAAATAGGGATAGAATAAAAAAAGAAAGAAAACCCTCAAACTGGGAAAGTTATTAAATATTTATTTCCTTTTTAGCCTTACTGAATTAAGCAAGTTCTGAAAAGATATTTAACTTGCTATAGGCAGGGACACCTCCCTCTAGACCAGGTTGCTCAGAGTCCCATCCAGCCTGGCTTTGAATATTTCTAGGGAGGGGGCATCCACAACCTTACTGGGCAACCTGCTCCAGTGTCTCACCACACTCACAGTAAAGAATTTCTTCCTAATATCTAGTCTAAATCTGCCCTCTTCCAGTTAGAAGCCATTTCCCCTCATCCTGTTGCTATATGCCCTTATAAAAAAATTGCTGAGTACTGAGTATTGTAGAAAGAGGAAGAACATACAATGTTACAAATTTAATATATCTAATAACAGAACTAGAGTCAGAGTCTCAATTTTTATTTTATAAAAATCAAAACTATTTTATGCTGGTTTTTTTCTTCCCCTTCCCCCCCCAGTTTGTTATGAAATATGCTTTCTCTGAAAAAAAAGAGAAAGCATGTTCCCTTTACTCCCACTGTTAGCTTCAAGTTTTATCAGTTTATGCAGTGCCTGAATCACATTTCTTTGTGCTGTGTTACTTGCTTTCTTATTCTAAAAGACTGGGCTTTTCACAATCAATACTTTTGTTGTGTACCAGTGTAAACTTTTGTAGTGGTAATTTAGACATATTTGAAAAAAGGAAAAAATTAAGAAGTCAAAATGCGGTTGAATAAGTTAATCACTTTTCCTGTTTCTCCAAGACAACATAATCCACAAACTAGCCATGTTGTTTTGATTCTCTTTGTCATATAAGAGTTCATTAGAAAAGTTCACTGCACAATTTTTTTGATGCTGGTAAATCAATATATCTCAATTAGTCATTATCTTCTGTGGTTAGTCAACTCTTTTTTAATTATAGATATAATGAAGAATGCATATATTTTCAGGAAATATATTCAGAAAACGGATTTTAAATAAATATTCGGATATATGTTCCTCAGTTAAAAAGTAAGAAAATAATTCAATCAGAAATAATACAACCAGGAGAAGAGAGAATTAATTTTCAAAGAATAAACTGGGAATAGAGTGGTGCTATGCCTTAGGGAACTCTGATTGTATATTCCATGGATTTACTGAAACACAGGCAGCTGGGGAAGTAAGGAATTACAGGACAGGCCCCAGATTCCTGCACAGTAGGACCGTTTGTATGAATGGTTCCCTTTCTTCTACTGATCTCTAAAGCTCTGCTCCTGTTTCAACAAGTAGTTTACAAGTCATTGCCTATTTTACTTCATTAAAGTATTTCTCTGAATACAAGGACAGTTAGTACAATATTAAATACTGTACTTGAATGGTCAATGTAAATCTCTCAAGGGGGGGCTACTTAAAAGGTGATTAAAAATGTGTCTTCAGTCTTCCCAAATAAATACTTTCAACAATTATCTATGCTTATTCTCATTAAAAAAATTATAAAATAGAAAAGAGAACATATTGGCAAACAGGTTCTTGTCCAGAAACATCGTAAAATAGCCAGTAATTGCCAGGTTTGAGTTCTGCAATTGTTGCCTGAAAGGGAATTTGAAGCCTTCTTCCCTTGAGCAGAACTCTTACAGGTAGACGCTGTTGAATTTGATTGCTGGATCTTGTCCTCAGCTGCAGTGTAGGGGAAATCTAATCATATGGGAGGTAGTGCTACTCAGACTACATTTAGTGAAAAGAAGTCTGTTCTATACAAGATAGACTGGAAGGCTACACATGCAAATCCAAGTACTACCGAAATACAAGTACTTTCCTGGTGTGAAGAATTACCATCCCTATGTGATCAAGAGAAAAACAAAAAATGTTCTTGCATCCCTAATGTTACCTCTCACCTTCCTTATTTTTTTTTTTTTTGTGCACACAAGGTGATGAGTGGTCAAAATAATTTTTTTTTTCCTAGAAGTGCCCCCCCAAGCCCTTGCTTCAAGCTGAGTACTGGAACAACTGCACAGCCCAATGGTGACAGAAAACATGCCTATCTCAGCTTCAGCTGGTTGGTATTCATCTGCAGTGCTGTCCAGATGAGCTGTATTTATTTCACTGGAGCATTTCAGTCCAAGAAAAGATGCCATGTGGTGGTAGCTCTATTCTGAGAAAGGTGTAGTTGGAAAAAACAGATTTTCATTGTACCTGTGTGATCTCCTGCCAGCTCATCTGCCTGGCAGATGGCCCAATGGCAAAGGAGTGCTGATGTGTAAAGTTGGAGCTGCTCAGCTGTGTGGAGGCCAGAGGATTTCTTGAGATTTTTACCCTCAGGCAGACCACAAAGATAATGATCCCTGGGCTTTTTCTCCCTGAGAGCTGATGTTTGTGGGCCTGCCCCATAGTTAGAGTATTCTGGAAATCCCAATTTCCCACCTGAAAAGTCAATATACATTGGCAGCACTTTCATGCTTCTTGCCATCTCAGGGCTTTGCCTTGCAGGTGGTTCTGCAATGTTGTTTTAAACTGGTGCAAAAACATAGTTTCAAATAGGAAATTCTCCCTGAGTTAATGGATGACATTAATGACACAGCTCTAGTAGCAGCTAAAACAAAATTTGCTTAACATTATTAGGACAGAAATAAACGGTGAAATAATGCAAAATGTGA